GAGTAAGTTTCCCTCATCTCTTTGAAGTAGCCGAAATTATGTCACTGTTGGAATAGATACAGCAGCTGATACCCTCAGCTGATAAGGAAAGTGATGGGAAGCCTAACTTTTATTATACAATAATAAATTGTATAATAACATACAGTTTACAAAATAAACTGTAGCTACATAAACACTAAATGGCTTTAGGACTAAAGGATTTTTAAAATCAAAATTACTGTGTATGGACTGGATCAACTGAGCAATTAAAATAAAATAAATATCCCAGTACAGCTGTACTGTACTGGCAGTGGAAACATAATGGGAAACTTAGGTAAGTGAGAAAAGAAAACCTTTATCCACCCTGATCTTTGCTGGTTGTCTCTACTCGATGGAGACAGGCGCCTGCAGCGTGTGATTCATTCCACTTCAGGCACATACTTTAGAATGGATTGAATCACTCCCTGCGTATACCCATCTTTTCCCATGGACTGTCAATAAAGCCTAGACAGTTAGCTGAGGTTCAATGCCTAAATTTTAGATCACTGCAGGTAAGTGAAGTGGATCGTGTGCTAACTGATATGTGATTGCTGCCGCCTTTGTGCTTTACAGCAAGGTCATGCTATATAGCTTGTATCAGAAGTACAAAGCAAAAGCAGGTAAACAACTGTTTTTGTCTTTTTCCATTCTCTCCCTTTATTTCCCTCGGCAAGATGATTTTATTTTCTTCATGTATGTAATGCTTCTGTACCAGGAACAGGAAATGAAACACATGGTTTCATTTCATTTGCTTTTTGTAGTAAGCATCTGATTCAGATGAGTTAACTGCTGCCTGAGTAGCATGTGAGCTGGTGAAGTACTTCACAATTCCAAACCTGTACTCGTCTGTGAGTTCCTATTTATTGCTGATGATTAGAAAGTATTCTCTCTTCCGAGCTGTTGAGGTGGAAGAGCTTATGTAAAACTAACTGTAGGCAGCCAGATTTTACACTTGTTATCCTACTTCTGGGCTCCCCAGCATAAGAGACATGGAGCTACTGGAGTGAGTCCAGCAGAGGGCTACTAAAATGAAAAGCAGGCTGGAGCATCTCTCAGGTGAGGAGAGGCTGAGAGAGGTGGGACTGTTCAGGCTGGAGAAGAGAAGGCTCGGGGGGATCTGATCCATGTGCACAAGTATCTGAAGGGAGGGTGTCGAGAGCACGGGGCCAGCCTCTTCTCCGTGGTGCCCAGCGATAGGATGAGAGTCAACAGGCACAAACTGAAACACAGCCAGTTCCATCCGAACAGGAAGAAAAACTTCTTGACTGTGAGGGTGCCTGAGCACTGGGACAGGTTGCCCAGAGAGGTTGTGGAGTCTCCTTCCCTGCAGATATTCAAAACCCGCCTGGACGCGATCCTGCGCAATGTGCTCTAGAGGACCCTGCTGGGGCAGGGAGGTTGGACTAGATGATCTCCAGAGGTCCCTTCCAACCACCTCAACCCTTCTGTGATTCTGTCAGGGTTGGGTCAAGGTCTGGGTCAAGGTCAGGATCAGGATCAGGGTTGGGTCAGGATCAGGGATGGGTCAAGGTCAAGGTCAAGATCAGGGTCAGGGTCAGGGTCACTGCTGGGGTTCGGGTAGCCCAGACACGCCGTCCCGGTGCTCCCACGCTCCCATCACAGCAGGGCGGGGTGCAGCGTGGTGCCCTTGTGCCGGGGGACCACGCCGGGGTTCGC